CCAACAAGAAGCATAATAATACTAATACCTACAAGAGTCTTTAATCTTTTTTCATTCAAAAGCTGCAAAAAAGAAAAATAAAATCTTCTTCAATGAGAGACATGTATACAATGTGGCTGCTATATGTGGTTCTAAATAATAGAAGTTTCATTATCAACTTTATTTTTTTCATTTGGAAACATACAAAACTTTGTTATAATAAGTAAAGTTTAGTTGTTTTAATATGATAAATTAGTGATTTGGTGACTTAACATTACAATGGATAAAATTCAATTATTTTTAATGTAATATTTTTTGTAACTTTATCATTATAATAATTATTTAAATCATCCATATTAGAATTTTGTATATTATCGATATATAAACACGCTATATCAATAATTAAACCAATTAGATATTTGTTATTGAGGGCCAATAACTAACCTACTTTGGATTTTTTTCCTTTCCTTTCTTGTTTCCATTTGTTAATATGCACATGTTTTTTAAAAATGTTAACCTCTAAGCAAATTTAATTGTCTTCAACATCCATATTAATATGTGTTATCTCAACAAAAAAACTAATGTAAAACCATTTTAGCATTAATTTAGACTAAGCCCCTTCCTTAATTTTACTTTCAGTCTAATTGAAGTGCTATAAAAAAAACTAAGGTGCTTCTATATGTATGGTACACAATATTAGGGGGATCAAAAGAATGTTCAAAATCTACCGATTCTAACCGAACTGAACCGATTTATATAATTATTCCAATAAAATTGTAGACTTTTATTTAATTAGTATATAACTGTCCCGAACAATAGGGTAGGTCTTTTAAATTTATAAAAAAAATCTGAAAAATTTTCGAACCGAACCGAATAACCGTAAATATATTTTTTATATTAACGATATGTTAAATTTAATATATAAATATATTTTATAATATTTTTCAAATATAAATATAATCTAAGTTATAGGCCTATGGTGACTGGACGACTTTAGGTCTTTGCTCTTAATTAGCATTTACTTAATTATGTTTAAAATTAAAAGATACTATAATAGATACTATATCAAACAATACGGTCAAACCTATGCAAGCACCCATATTAAATATTTAAGATCAAACAATACGGCTACAAGGTTTTACATTCTTGACTTCTTGGTGAAAAATTATAATGAAGTTCTTCTTCAAGAACATACTTGCAAAAAGAAATATTTTGATAATAGTATATTTTGAGGTGGCATTTTAAAAGTTAAAAACATTGAAGATTAACCAAACTGTATCGATACCGAAGAGAAACTGATATGATTGACATGATTTTTAAAAATCTAATTTTAGTTATGCATTATAAAATACTATAAAAGTGGGATGCTATAAAAATAAAATTAAAATAACCGACCAAAACGTCCTATTTACACCCTACGTAATAATATGATGGATTTCACTTGCCTTTATCCAGATAAATAACAATACAATTATTAATTGGGGAAAATCTCAAACAACTTATGAACTATAAATCTTTTTAATTATATAACAAACTCCAATGTATTATTGAAAATTTACCTTTTGACAATTTGAATATTTAGAGGTGTCTTTAGAATTACAAAACCTAGTTCATATACTTCTAATTCTAAAGCCACTTTTAAATAATTCAATTTGACAAAACTATAAATTTGACATAATAACCTGATTGGTCTATCGATACAACTATTAAATAACTCCCAAAAAAAAATCCAACCGATAGGCTAATATAAACATACAAAACCGTTTGAGTATACTAATAAAATCAATAATATTTTTTTTCGATTCAATTTATCTATTTCATCAAAACTTACACACCTAGGCACAAAATACTTGGCTCATAGAGCTTGGCAAAGGCATTCATGGTTTATGTCTTGGATTTATCAGGCAAAATGAAATTCTGGGCCATGTCTTGTAGTCTTGCATATGCTACAATTATTAAATTTAGTTAGCCATTCTTATTCTACGTAGACTATTAGATTTTTCTCTATTTGACCTATTTTGTAGGCACATGTTCAACAAAAAACATTACTTTAAATTGAAGAATGAAGACTTGTATAGCATTCATTCATTTGGAAGACTATTAGATTTTTCTCTATTTGACCTATTTTGTAGGCACATGTTCAACAAAAAAAGATTACTTTAAATTGAAGAATGAAGACTTATATAGCATTCATTCATTTGGAGGACCTCATGCTGAGGTCTCTAATAGAAGCTTCTCAATGGCTAAATTAAAGCATCATGAACTCTTCTTTTATTAGGGAAAAAAAAAAGAAGAGAAAATGTTTCAACTTTGATCATTAATTAATTAAAGATAATAATAAAAATAATTGTAGTTGCATTGGTATTTAATTTGTATGATTTTATCTAGGAAAAATTATATGGTTAAGCAAATATATACTAGTTAATTAGTCATCATAGTTATATATAGTTTTAGACTTTTAGTTGATTACCACTCGCGACCAACATTCAGTGATAATTACATAGGCTGGGATTTCGAGTTTGTATAATTCAGAATTTGTATAACTTTTGTATAATGTAATTTTGTATAATTGTTTAAAGTCCAGATATTTGTGTTCGTATAAAATCGTTATTTCGAGTTTATAAAAAAAATAGTTCAATTAAACAAACGTACCCGCAAATTATACAAACGAGACAGTTAAATTGTAGCTACATTCCGTAAATATACAAACTATAGTTACGAAGCATAATTAAATTTCTTATAATAGCTATTTGTGAAAATTCTCCTAGCTACTTTATCCTTAAGGTTTTTAAAAGTTATTATCGTGTTGCTCCCCTAAAAATTTCTACTCCAACTCTTTAAATAATATTCTTTGATAATATTTTATGGATTGTGTTTTTCATTTTGTTATTTCGTACTATACAATCTTTTTTTTGGGATCTTTTTTCCATAAAAGGTAATGAAAAGATTTTTAGAATGGATTGCTACATATACTTGGGTCACGGATAAATGAAAATTTTATTGTTAGACATGTATTACTTTCTAGGCTTTCTTTGTTAAGAGATTTGCATTTCTCCATGTTATCAAACTTTGAGACTTAGAGGGTGTTTGGATTGGATTAAAGTTGATCAAATTTAATTTTAAGTCAGTCTTTTATTTCTGTAAATGTTTGACAAATATTTAAAAATAACTTAAAATAAATTAGAAAGTGTTAGGCAAAGTAAAAAATGACTTAAAAGAATAAGTCAAAAACTAAAAGTAAGTCTTTTCCACTTTTTATTTTTTGACTTAAAAGGGATTTAAGTCAAAAACCAAAAATAAGTCTCCCCCATTTTTTATTGTTTTACTTAAAAGCTATTTTTTTAACCTAATCCAAATGGGCTCTAAGAACCTGTTTGGATTGGTGGGGTTAAGTGAGGTGGGTCAACAAAATGCTTAAATGGGTATTTTATTATTTTTAATTAACAATTTAGCTTTTAAGAAAAAAATTGTTTCAATAAAATTTAGTAAAAAGTTATTTAAATTGGTTGAGTGACTTTTTAGGTAAAATGTCAATAATAGAGTGACTTTTTAAGTAAATTATCTTAAGTTGAGTGACTTTTGGGTTATACAACAAAGTTGAGTGACTTTCTAAGTAAACTACCCTAAGTTGAGTGACTTTCTAAGTGTTTATCTCAAGAAAATGAGTCATTATTTTTTAAACAAACTAAAAAGGAAAGTAAGTCATTCTTTTTTAAATAGAGAGAGTATTTTCTATGTTTCATTATTTTTATTTATACTCTTCACTTGCAGTTTTGTATTTCAAAATCGATGCCCATTTGTTAATTTTCGTAAAAATAAAAATTGACAGACGAACATCGAGTTTTTTTAAAAAACAATATTTTTTTTAGAGCTTCTCTGTATATTTGTGCGGAAAATAACCGATGAAAGTGCGTCAATTTTTTTTTATAAAAAAAAACCATTCACAATTTGACAGAAGCAGTCAAAGTTTTAGCTTTTTTAATTGTGTTATTAGCAATGAACATAATCCTTTTAAATTTTTTTTATTGAAGATGGATTCTTTTTATCCGTATTGAGTTGAATTAATAATTAGAAAGCGAGCATTTGAGTCAACGCCGTGTATTTTTCATATCATCTCGACTCTCTGAATTTAACTCAAATACTGGCTTTCTAATTTTTAATTCAACTTTATATGGGTAAAAATAACTCATTCAATATAAGTAAAAAAAAAAGTCTTGTTCATTCCTAATAACACTATTGAAAATGCTAAAATTCGACAGACTCTGTCGATTGCCAATGTTTTTTTAAGAAAAAAAATCGACGCACTTTCGTCGATTATTTTTCACATGCAAAAAACTATTAAACATAAATTACTATTACAAAAAACAATTGATGTTCGTTCTTCAATTTTTGAATTTTTTTTCAAACACTAACAAGCGGATGTCAGTTTTTAAAACACAAAATTGCAATTGAAGACTATAAATAAAAAATAAAAAAAATCATAAAATTAGTATTTTATGTTTAAATGATACATAAAAAACGAAATTGAAGGATTAAAATAGAACAAGATTGAGATAAAGTGGTAAAATGAAAAGTAAGAGCAAGTTAGAAGATTGTTTTGTAAATTTGCCATTTTCCCCTCTCTTAATAAAAATAACTTTTTTCATAGGACATAAGTTTATATTTCTATATCATAATATTTGACAAATTATGTCAGATCTAAGACTTCAATTTCTACGAAACTTATTCCCCCACTAGTCATAAGTTCAATAATTAAATAGCAAAAATTAAACATCAATTCAAATGGAAAAAGTGTGCAATTTTTTTGTCAATGGAGATGACAAAGATAACTGGTGATTTTTCATAACTTCTAAATTATAGATTACAAGTTAACAATGCACAATTATTTAACAAAAAGGCCTGAAATTGAACTTGAGTGTGCCCAAGTTCCTCTATTCTGGCTTGTATAATTTAGTATAACCATATAATTAGTAATAATACTTCATCAAAGAATGACTTCACCCTGCTCCAAAAGTAATGGCAGGAAGAATCACAATGACATATCTAACATATCTGCTGCCTGTGTAATTGCCGCGAGCTCCATGAGCTATTTAGCTGAGAAGGAAAAATTACTGTTGGCAACCTCTTGCTTTCCTCGACGTGAGGAAAGTCAATGGTATAATGAAGCCCACGACTCTCATGTCGGGAAAGAGCACTGCTAACAACCAGCTTGGCACAACAGAAGAGATTCCTCATCTCGCAAGCCTCTAAACCAACCATAGTCGGTTCCCAGCCATGCTGAAATAGGTATCTTTCCCATTTCAACTCCAACTCTATGATTCTGGTTTCTGCAAGGGTTAGTCGTGAGGTAGACCTTACAATGCCAACGTATTCCCACATGATTGACTGCAGTTCTTTCCTCACTTCCCTTGTCCGATGAATGACTTTGTTAAGTACTGTATCTCCTAGTAACAAGGGGGCTACAGGCCGCGCCCACCAACTTGAAGCACTGTGATCAATTTTAGATATGTTCATGTGATCAATTGAAGGCTGTACAGCTCTTCGTGCAAACACTAGTGCTTCAGCCAAGGAGTTGCTAGCAAGTCGGTTTGCACCATGCAAACCAGTACATGCAACTTCACCTGCCACATAAAGACCTCGTACATTAGTCTCACCTTCAAGCCCAGCACGGACTCCACCACACATGTAGTGAGCTGCGGGAACCACTGGAATTGGCTGCTGTGTTATGTCTAACCCATAGCGGAGACACTCAGCAGCTATATTAGGAAAATGAGAAAGAATCTTCTCTGTGGGCTTGTGACTGATATCAAGAAGAACATACTCTTCACCACGCTTTTTGAGCTGGTCATCAATACTTCTTGCTACCACATCTCTCGGGGCAAGCTCTGCTCTTTCATCATACGATGGCATAAATCTCTCCATATCTAAGTTGTAAAGGATGCCTCCATCACCTCTGACAGCTTCAGTTATCAGAAAAGCATTCTCTCTGGCATTTGATGGTCTGATGGGAAGGCCTTCATCAGCCAAGGCAGTCGGGTGGAATTGCACAAACCTGGCAACACAAGTCAGAGAATTGTAATTATTAATGCAATCTTCGAGAACAGTTCATCAACTTCGCAAACAAAGACCTGTCTACCATCCAAAAGATGATCAAAGGAGGACCATCAATTAGACAGCCGCTAGTCTAGAAATCTTTTTTACATCAATTAATCCCCCAATGAAGAATTTGATACCCTTCTTCCCGAAAAAATTAATTTGCATATCCCTTTCTACATCAATTAAATCCCCCAACGCAACCTTTGGAGATAATCCATCAACCTCGCAAACAAAGACTTGTCTACCATCCAAAAAATGATCAAAGGAGGACCATCAATTAGAGAACCAACTGCTAGTCTAGAAATCTTTTCTACATCAATTAATCCCCCAATGAAGAAAATTTGATGCCTTTATCCTGAAAAGTTCAAGTTGCATATCCAATGTCATCCCGCACAACATTTCGAACACACCCTTGTATAATTAGTCAAAAGTGCAAATTCTGAATGAATGCAGAACAAGATGCAAAAATCAAGAAGGCAAAAGATGGATGAAATCTAGATTGGCAGATTTACAACACAGTTCACTAAAGCAGAGGCAGAAATATGCTATAACAGGAATGCAACACTGAGGATTACTTACTCCATGTTGGAAATTACAGCTTGAGCTCGATGAGCCATAGCCATTCCATCTCCAGTGGCAACCTACAGCCATCATATCAAAATGAATTAGAACTTTGAACATGTCCATATTCAACAAAGTTAAACTTTTCCATTCATTAATAAAGGCACAAATGATCAAATACAAAAACAAAACTGGCCCCACACCAATTTTTTTTTTTTAAAAAAAGATAACGGGCAGAAAACTCAGGTTAGTACAACTTTGAACAACGTGTCTTTGCTTCTATTGTACAGAAATTATTGGTGTATAGAATAAGAATTTATTATCTTCATTATATACAAGATAAGAATCTACACTTCCAAGCAAAAGATCATCTGTTTTCTCGTCTTATCTTTTCCTCTCTTTTTTGGCATTTAGGGCAGCGAGCTCTTACTTTTGATTGCATATTAGCTTAATATGCAATTGCTATAGGGTAGAAAAATTAATACTCTGTGGAATGATATTTGCATCAATGTCAATTGATAAGATCCTTATGAATTACAAAAGATACTTTGAGATCAAGCCTATCACCAACAATGAACTGCAAAAGCATGCTAGTCAACAACGACTTACCCAGTGAATCCCACGAGTGGAGTCTGGGGAGGGTAAGATATACGCAGACCTTACCCCAACCCTTTGTGGGTAGAAAAAGCATGCTAGTCATATGGTAAAAAAGTAAGTATTAGCCACCTTGCACCAAGGAAGGGATTCCCTTCCACACCTTCTCCTTCCATATTACTGTTTAGGACTCTGAATAATCTTACTGATTATAAGGAGTGACATACTATAACTAACAACATTTTAGAGGAGAAGATATTGAATCCCATACCGGCGGATTAGTAGTACTTGGATAGATATGTCCAGCTCCACCTGATGCCAGCAAAGTCACTTTTGAAATGAATCTTATGACCTACAAACTCAAAGTAAGAGCACAGAAGCCTAAGAAATCAATTTATAACATTTTGACGAAACGTTCAAATCATGGAGGTGAACATGAGTGAAAGCAACTGTACGTACCTCCTGTGTTTCCGTGTTTATAGTATCAATGCCGTGACAAACTATGTCAGAACCATCCTGCATTTGGCATACAAATTAACATTAGCAAATATTTATGACTTATCAAACAGTTCATCCTTTCTCAAAAAAATCCTTATTGAACATTTCAATTGCCAACTTTACACAACTATCATCATGTTCAATTGTCGTTCACTTGCATTGCACTGCTTGTTTAATCATATCTACTAGGGTACATTCCTTAAGTTGTGACCAAATATAAGCAAGTGCTAAAAATTTGCATAAGCAATATTTGTACAAACAACATAAGCAAAAGACTAATGCCCAGTTTTTAAATTAGATTAAAGCAACAACCCTTCATTTTGGATCAAATTGATGCTAAAGCAGAAATTTTTTCTCCATAATAACCAATGCAAACAGTTGCTATCAAGGAATAAACTTACCTGGGTGGTCAACAAATCTATAGCAAAATGGTGTTGAAACACATATATATTAGGATCCTTAACAACTGCCTCTAATAGGGCCCTTCCTATCTCTCTGCCTGTCATATCAGCAGCATGGACAATTCGGCGATGGGAGTGGCCCCCTTCCCTGGCTAGATGTAGATTGCCATCCTCCCCATGATCGAACGAAGCACCCATAGCAATCAGTTCTCTAATTCTCTCAGGTCCTTCAGTACACACAACCTGGAGAATGGAGATGCACTTTAAAAGAATGAAGAATTTAAAAGAATAAACTAAAAACGATATGTTGGAGTAATAAATCAGTCATTTTGTAAGTTTCATTTAGAACATTGATTGCATAAGAAGCACAACTATATGAACCAAGTTTTTTCCCGACTGAGAAGAAGATATCAGTTGTGATGTCCCACCATTCAAACACAACATAAAACTTGTATATATTTAAACAGAAGATAAACAAAGATAGCATAGAGAAAACTAATTGGTGTCCCTTAAAAAATTGATGCTGATTTAGGGAAGTGCTAATGATACCTTTGTGTGTACTCATTAAAAAAAAAAAAATATGGTACAAACTAAATGAAATCCCACTATCAAACCGAAAGACAACACAAGTTCACTTCCAGTTTTATTCTTATTTCTTCCTTCTTGCATGTCACCTTCACACTCTCTCCTCCAAATGTTCAAATACAGAAGTCAACAATCTGAACCATGAAGAATAGGTCTACTACATTCTCCGATGGAAATCTTCTATATTACCAACCATTGGTTTCACAGCTCTCCGACACTTTCTTCAGCTTCAACTTTTAAGCACTTACATCAGACGTTAGGAATAGGCATAGAGCCTTTCTTGTAATATGCTTTCTGGCACTTCAGCTTCAAATTGAAAACAAGCCTAACTGCCTCCATTGCTCTTACTCTTTTCCAATTTTTGGCAGTTCTACATCCTGCAGCAAATGCCGCCTAAACAGAAAGTTCCTTTGGTTTCAACCTGAAAGATAGATCGAAAACTTTCCTATTCATCCAACCAAGTAGTCTGGGACTAAAATTGGAAGAGAAAAGGGAAATAGTTTCCAAAGAGAAAAAAAGCTGAAAAACTGGCAACTGCTTTACGGAACTGAAGAGACTATAATATTCTGTGGACTTACTCTAACAGTCTCCTCATCACAGAGGTAAGCACCTGCCACAATTGTGTCTTGCATGTGGCTCTCCACTGAATCCTTAGGGCAGAGCACGGCACTTACACCACCTTGAGCATAGTTGGTGTTACTCTCATGAGGCTCGGCCTTGGTTATCACAGCCACAGTTCCATGTTTGGCAACCTCAAGAGCATATCGAAGGCCAGCAATGCCACTACCAATCACAGCAAAATCAAAATACCTAGTTGAGCCTTCTCTCTGGCATGATTTGATTGTTCCTCTGTGAGACTTCCGGTTTGTTTTCACTTGACATTGTGAATAGTTACTTCTATTAACTTGTAATAGTTTGGAAATCCAAGAAGACCTGAAAAATTTAATTAGCACATGGTCACAACCAGAAAATAGACATAATAACCTTTTCCAGAAAATGAACATAATAACCTTTCTCTTTTCTGAGGAATCAGGAAATGACTCGAAAAACGAAACTTCTAGGATTCTGTCACCTCATGAAAAATATATTACTGGTTAACCCCTAAACACGTAAACAAAGATTCCTTTTCAGTAAGTTCTTATTTGAGGATAAATAGTCCTACAGACAACACGTGAATGAATATCACCATTACAAGTTAATAACATCTTAAGAACTCCAAAATAAATTATTGTTTGCCGAGAAGAGAGGAGAAGGGGTACTACAAATAAGATAATATACCAGGGAAAAATAGAGAGATAGGTGAAGAAGCATCATCCTAATACATACCAATGGATTTGGTTTTGCATGCCGCTCAGGATCACAGTGGAATGACACTGAGCTTTTCCATATCTATTCCTCCGATAGACAGGCTCCCTCAAATATAATTGTCCGCTTCCTGAAGCTATACCAGTTGCCATATGATCTTACTACTGACAATCCAGGTCAAAGGAATTGGTATCAGGTGAGCACTCGAGGTTTAGAGTATTTGTGAAACTAAACATGTAAAGATCACCTTGATTACCTCTAACAACATCCTAACCGGGCAAGGAATTGAGCTAAACAACAAAATATTGGCCATTGGCATTTAGATAACTTCTACCAATCATTACACGCATATTTCCAAAGTTTATGCCACTTTTTTAAAATATGATTGATGTAACTATGGTTGAGAGGGTAGGCAATAAATTTTGAAATTACTTCCTACTTAATTTTGTCTAATTCACTTCAATGTGAACCGATCTTCTTCGAACTTTGGCTTTGTAAGATGTTCTTCAATTCTTTGAGTTTTTCAAGCTCAAGCTAATAAAATTATTACAAATGAAATGGCATTCTCTTAAACTTAAATGTCTTTTAAAGCATGATAATCACTATGATATTTGTGGTTTAAACCTATTTTTGGAGCAAAAAAGTGATAACAGAAGCACAACTAGAAAATAATATTTTAATTAGCATATTCAACCCTGTGAAGTCTTAATTCTATTTTTAAATGTTTATATTGATTATAGAATAACTTAAATAGTGATCTTTCTAAAACAGTTTCTTTATACACTACCCTCCTCCATTGGCTAAGTTGTTATACTCAATTGAAAAAGTTTTCAAAACTAAAATCAATAAAATAACATTATTCGAATTGAAAAAAAACAAATGACAATCAAAATATAATTTAGATATAAGATCAAACATTTTTGGGTCATTACCTTCAAATCTATTTTCTTAGAGAAAACTTTTTTAATCTGTTTTTGGGCTAGGATTATCAGGCAGGCAAAGAAAATAGCAGAAAAATGGAAGATAAAGCAGAATTGAGTTGCATGTGTGCTACAGGATAAGAGAGAACCCTAAATTCAACTCACAAACACAACTCCACTGCTTACAAAAAAAGAACGAGGAAGAAAACAATTACCTTAACGCAGCAAAAATGGCGCTTCAACAAAGATAAGTTGGGAAAGAAAGCAAAGTGCAGAGTGCGGAGAGAGAATTGTATGAACAATAATATAGTGAATATATGCACTTTTCCAATGTGTGGCGTTAGAGGAAAAGTAAGGGCAGACGATCCCACTTGCGTTTCCTCCGCAAACAAATTGGACCAAAATAGTCCTCCGGACACGTCCCTTTTTACTTGTTCAATTTAATTTTTTTTAATTTATTTCATTTTGTTCGATTGTTTACTATTGATTTGACATAGTTATTATAAAATAGTAATAAATAATAAGGATAATATTATTTAATGTCTTACAAACTGTGCTAGATGATAAATAATATTTAATAGCAAAGGTAAAATAGATTAAAAAAAGGTACATTATCTCTTGATTTTCAAAACTCAACAAATATTGTTGGATAACTATTTTTAGTATAGTGGACAGTTATTGTTGGACGGGAGAGTATTTGTCATTTTTTACAAATTAAGAAAAGACAATATTTTTTATCAATTATATCCTCAATTTATTTAGAAGATTAATATTTTTTTTTAAAAGATAGAACATTTTTAATGAGTAAATTAATTTTGAAATTCTATCAATTAATAGAAATAAAATGATAAATACGTTATAGTAATTATTATTTTATTAAATATGAACGGTTGGGGTAGAATCCAAATTTCAGCCTTAACTTCTTCTTTTTTTCCAAAAAGAATCCAAATTTGTTCTTTTCAAAAAATAATAATAATAAAACACGGTGGAGTGTTTCTTTTTTGACTTCCCTCTAGCCCACCCGCATGCTTGCGTTTCAAGCTAGTTTCGTATTTCATTGTCGCACTATCTGCTTAACTTTTATTTCTACAAAAAAAAATAGTCTAATATTATAAAAGTTTAAATACAATAAATATTAGAATAAAGCTATGCATAATCTATTTTTATAAATATATGCATAATCATATATATATATATAAAAGAACTCTATGTCCTTCTATGTGGCATTACCACAAATCAAAATTCCCTTTCAATTTATTTATTTTCAAAACTAGACTTCCCCTTTCGTGTGACTTTTCTGAAAAGTTATGAATTTTATGAAGAGTTGCAACTTTTATGAAAAAATGTGACTTTTATGAAACGTTGTGACATTTTCGAAGGGTGGTAACTTTTCCAATGATTTGTGACCTTTTTGACAAGGCACAATAAGCATTTGTTCACACTATAATTTATTGTCTATAAATAGAGGGATTTCCTATCACTATTATTTGTAGATTTTTTTCCGCTACAAGGTAGTCAAATTCAAATTCATTAATTAAGCTTCTTATGAAGTTTGTTCATTCCTCAAAGTTTTCTTCCTCCTATTTCATGGAGCTTAATCTTTACTATAAGTCATAGTGATTCATGTTACTATGACAATTTCTTTTTGCTATCTTGGTGATTTTTTTTTTGAGCAACTTTCACGTATAGCAAACATAAAAATCATATTTGTATGTTATATCTATAGTTTAACATAATTGCGCTTCATAGCAAATTTTATGTTTACTATGGAGTTTTTGATTTGTATAATTCGCTAGATACATCCAATTTGAGAAAATGATCAAAATGATCCTTGATGTATAGGGGTTGAACATTTTTGGTCCTTTATATATATCACCTTATTGAAAAAGTCCTTAATGTATAGAAAAATATGCTCATTTTGGTCTTTAGCCCTAAAACTAATTATACATGTGAAAAATTCTGTTAAACATAACGGTGGGTCTCATAAAAATTGACACCTCACAGATTCTTTCTCCCTCAATCTTCTTTCTTTCACCATTAGAGGAGATTCTCCATTTTCAGTCCGTCCATGACCCACCTGTCTTATAAAAAAAAAATACATATTACACTTATTTCTTAATTTTTATCTAAAACAATAGTTTCCAGCAACTCCGATTTTTATACATACGAAGAAAAGGAACAAGTCTATTAAAACAAATATGTCATAAGTAAATTAGATTTAAAAAAAGCAATCCATTCCTTCTCGTAAGAGATCTCCATAAGCCAACCATTTTTCAAGTTTTAAACTAACTATTCCTTTTTGTCGAAAAAATCTATGCGAAGAATATAGATTTTTTTTTTTTGCCCTTTTTAAGACTAAATCTTTTTATGTATTTATTTTTTGCTCTGATGTTAACATTAAAGGGTGAAAATAGGATGGATAAAGGTGGAAAATATAATCTTAAACTATAATTTGAAATTTGAAGAGATTTTTGTGTGTCAATTTTTTTTTTTTGTAAATTTGGTTTAAAAGAGATTGAAGAAGAAGGTAATGGAGAGAAGAATAAACCAATTGAAAAATGCAGCAAAAGAAAGAAAGATTGATGGAGAATGGGTTTGCCATGTGGCAATTTGTGGAACCCACAGTTAAGTTTAACAAAAAATTCACTTGCTTAGTTAGTTTTAGGGTTAAAAAACCAAAATGATCATATTTTTATAAACATTAAGGACTATTTCAATAAGGTAATATATAAAAAGGACCAAGAAAGTTCAAACCCTATACATCAAGGATCATTTTGGTCATTTTCTCCATCCAATTCTATACAAATTGTTCAATTTTGTATAAATTCATTTATACATTGTAATTTGTATAATAGGATATGTATTTGTATACACACTTTTCTTTCGCTTTATACAAACACAAACACATTTTATACATTTGTATATCAAATGAGTAATTGTATACCGAAAATGACTAATTGTATACCGAACTAAATGACAAAAAATGGGATGTTTGCTGCGAATTACAAATAAAATAAACTATGGCTATAACATTTAATTTGAATTAATAGTTTGTTATTTCATACAATTTTCCCCTCTTTGTTTTACTCTGTTAAATTTTTTAGCAATGATAATTGAAAATTGATATTCTTTTTTGTTCTTATCTACATGTTTCTTCATATAAACAAAGAAAATTAATTTTAATTGCAATGCGGCAATACTGCTCTTGCACCTCTCAGTCCACAACTCATAACGCTGCTGAAATGGTTGAATTCATTACATTTGGTTCTTTAGTAAACATAACTTTTATTTCTGCCACTATTATTTGTAGTTTTTTTTTTTTTTGCTATAGGGGAGTCGAATTCATAAATATATTAATTAAGCTTCTTATGAAGTGTGTTCCATTTCTCAAAGTTTTGTTCCTCCTATTTCATGAAGCTTAACATTTACCGTAAGTCATAGTGATTCATGTATCTCTTGCAAAAAAATTTTGCTATTTTGGTGCCTTTTTTCGAACTCTGTTAAAAATTCCAATGAGGATGATTGAAAATTTATCTTCTCATATGTCCCTTTCTACAGGCTTCTTCATATATTTTTTGGGAAAAGTGCTTGTGGGTTGTGTTATATTTGATAGCATACAACAATAAATATGTGATAACTAATATGGAACCAATGATGATGTTTGTTAAAAAGAACCAAACATATTGCTCTCTTGCTTGCCACAATTAGTATATTAATTTGATTGTTTTTTCTTACATACAAACATTTTATATGGATTGAGGTATACATATTATCGTCTTTGTTGGAGAAAATTACTGAATTATTTTCAATAGATAATGAAGAAAAACACAGATACAAAGGCTCGAAAAAAAGCTTGGTTTATTATCAGTTCCTTCCAAGACTCTCCAAGTAAAAGTTTTTTCCCTATTTCTTCACTTCTCAATCTTGGCAATAGTAATGACTATTCAGAGATAATGAGGAAAAACATTTATGATACTAATAATTTTAGGGTCATTTTTAACATATATATAATACGACATAATATAATTTTAAAAAAAAGAATGATGGAGGTTCATAAAAAAGGAGCCGAAGGTACTCCATTTAAATTTAGTTAATTATGTTCTTGTATGGACGTGATGTTCCACTTTACTTGGGAGTGTTGTTGTTCGAGATTTTTTGGTCTCTTCTTTAATGTCTTCTTGAAATATAGAAAATTTCATTACTTCTGACCAACTATTTCCATGGAGATTTTCTTAGACTTCTTTCTTATACTTAAAATCTCT